CCCAATGCACGTTTAAAAAGCCGTGGAGAAAGGGCTTTCTCTGTCTGTGCACCGAAGCTGTGGAACGCATTACCACTGCTAGTGAGGCTAGCACCAACAGCTAGCATTTTTAAATCACACTTGAAAACTCACTACTTCAACCTAGCTTATATAACATAATTATGACCATCACTTACATCTGCATTGTTTAAAAATGGACTTCACAATATCAACTTCCGTACTATTGAGGTTCTTTTTTAAAATGTTTTTCTATTTTTTTATTCTCCCTGTGCCTTATTGATTTTTAGCTGTTAGTTTTGGGAATTTTGTTGTATTTCCTTTTTATCTTCTATCTGTGTTCGACATGTTTGTATAACGCCGGTTTAATTAACATTTTTAGTGTACAGCGCCTTGTTTGGTTGTAATGCCTTGTGAATGCGCTTTATAAATAAAATTGGATTGGATTGGATTGGATCTTAAAAAAATATTTTTTTCTCAAAATAAAGAATAATTTTAACCACAATTGAAACTTACCATCCTAGAAAAACCTCGTCCAATCAATGTGCACGTCCTGTTCTCACTGATTGGATAGAAATCCCTCCTTCAAGCTGAGCTTGTGTGTGTATGTGTGTGCGCGCACTAGTGGTGTGCATCTCTACCTGCCTCACGATTCGATCCGATTCCGATTATCTGCCTAACGATTCGATTTGAGTCTGAAATGCATCACGATTCTTCACACAAAAATTTTCATTACTTAATAAAAGCAGTAGAATAGTTTTCAATTTCTTTTTGATTTCGAAATCCCTGAAAAACAGAACATTCATCTATTCACTATAGTGAGCAATAATTTTTAAAGTGTGCTGCCGATAATTACTTAAATAATATAAGAAATAATGTTTTCGGTAGAGCAGCTTTAAGATAGAATATTACTGAACTTAAAAATAGTAAACAAATACAGTGTTAAGTGATTCTTTCACATCCAGGATCCCTAAACTGAAATTAGCCCAGACATGGTAAATGGCCTTTATTTGATGTAGCGCCTTCTAGAGTCCTAGAACCCCCCAAGGCGCTTTACAACACAATCAGTCATTCACCCATTCACACACACATTCACATACTGGTGGGGATGAGCTACAACGTAGCCACAGCTGCCCTGGGGCGCACTGACAGAGGCGAGGCTGCCGAGCACTGGCGCCACCAGTCCCTCCGACCACCACCAGCAGGCAACGTGGGTTAAGTGTCTTGCCCAAGGACACAACGACAGCGACAGACTGAGCGGGCCTCAAACCAACAACCTTCCGATTAAGGGGCGAGCACTTAACTCCTGTGCCACCGTCGCCCCGATCCGATTTAAATGTAACGGGTACATCTTTGATTACTGGTAATGTTGGCCCTGTATCCCTGTCTGCCTTTTCTGTTTTAAATTGCTTCTAGGACAACGCAGTGCGCATGTCATTGCAACTCTGCCCCCAGAAGTAATACCTCAAAATTTTATTGTCCTCGCATAGACATAGACCAGGGGTCGGCAACCTGTTCCCATCAAAGAGCCATTATTACCCGTTTCCCACAGTAAAGAAAACACCGCAGCAGCCGCAGCGTTGTGGGCGGGGCCTACCCTCAGACAGCAGAGCGCTGCTCACAACAGGTGACAGCAGCCAGTACCGGTCGCTCGTGTACGTCAAAGTTATCTTTCATAAGAAGATAATCAATAAAACGATTTATCTAAAGTGGATCCAGAAGTTGTAGCCCGTCTCTGCTACAATATTTTGATATTTTTCACCCTGTTGGTGGTTTTACTGAGCAGGTGCCACTTTTGTCATACGTTTCTTTTTAAAACATGTTTAGACTGTTCAGAATACAAATCCAGGCTCTGTCACGTCTGATTGTTGTAAATAAACTTTGTAGGTGGGGAAGGTCAGAAAAGGATCCGATCATTTTGTTTTTCCCTCATTTACAGCGACGGAGATAACGGCGCAGTGCGCCTGCCTCTGGTGTTAATCAAGTTAAATTTGTAACAATTTTCACAAGAAAACAGAACAGTTAAAAGCAGGGCTTGTGTTGTGTTGACCGGATAGTTCCCGTTTTTGACTATTTATTTTGACGGAGAAAGAATAGAAAGAACTACCCCGACGCATGCAGACGAACTGACATTTTATTCGTTTCGCACATCGCAGATGTAGCTAAATCACTTAAGAAAAGATTCCCATCTGAGCATCTGAGCTGGACAAGGAGCTCAGCGCAGCTCGCTGTCAGCACGTACGTACGGCGCACAGTGAGCTGAAGATGTGGAGAGGGGCTTGGAGCACGTCGCAGAACCAGGGCGCATGCAGGAAGATTCCTCCGACTGAAGCGAGACTTGTCACTTAGAAAATGCTCCCTGATTATGAAACTTTGGCTGAATAGCGCTTGTTCCTGTCTCCAATGTGGCGACACATCCAGGAGCCGTCTGAAGAGAATCCCAGAATCTCACATCCTCGTCAGCTTAGAACACGCATATGATTACGCACAAGCGTGACGCGTCTACCCGGTCTCACAGTAAGACTGGGTTGGACCTGTTCAGGTTTACGCATGTTTTTATCTTGCTCTTACGCCCAGGTACTGGGAATGTTTTTATGATGGTGTTCAGCACCTTGGGCTTCTGATAACGTTGTGGAAGGTGCTTTATAAATAAAATTAATTGATTGATTGATATGAATATTTGTAGTTATATTTTGGCAGCTGCTATAAATTATATTATTGTAACATATTACATTTTATAAAAGCATTTCCAAGTTTCTCAAACGGAAATGTGGACTTTTTATTCGACCTAATCTATAAATCACAATTTACGTATTTTTGGGTCAACATAACACATTTTAACATATATTTGTGTTTACGTGAGTGACACAATAGCTGTGTTAAATGGGCAAACACATTAGTTGTGTCATTAATGACGCAACATGTGTTGTCCCTGAGCTGATTCAACAAATGTGTTAAAATCTAACACATCGTGTGTTGTTTTTGACACAGCTGTTTTAAGAGTGTAGCCATAGTACAGTCGCCGAAGGAGTCTTGTGATTTTTATCTTGAGAGACACTTTATCAAAAATTGTTTTTTCTTCTTAATTGTTTGTATTTAGTTTTTTTGGAAAGTGAATTTTTTATCTAAGTTCTGAGAGAGATACTCAATTTGGGTGTAAGATATAGATTTTTCAATAATAGCGGAGTCTGATTCAGAATTTGTAATCCAATGTTCATTTTGCCATCTCATGTAGTTTAGTCTATAGGATCAAGTAATGCCAAACCTCCCTTGTCTCAGGGTGCCCATAATTTAGCCAACTTATTTCTGGGTATTTTCACTTCCCACAAATATGGTGGTTTACATTGCGTACAATAGGTCCACACTTGGTGTGTATGTAATGACAACTGTCCACCATTGGCTGGTACATAATGACACAAGTTCCCACTGAGACAGAATGGAGCGACACACACTTGGCAACATAAGTGTATAAAGAAGAAATTAGCAAAACAATTTATTCTAATGAGCAGATATTCATCTAAAGTTCATACTAATATTTCTTATAAAGTAGCACATATAATGTTGTTCTCCTTTTTTGTTTTGTGTGCATTCTGAAAATAAACAGTACCTCTGGAAAAGGACTACATCTATGTTGCAATTTGATGTGATACACAAAGTTGTGGTACTTTCAGAGGCTGAGATGTTCTAGAAAATATTTGGAAAGTGAATTTTTTTTATCTAAGTTCTGAGAGAGATACTCAATTTTGGTGTAAGATAGAGATTTTTCAATAATAGCTGAGTCTGATTCAGAATTTGTAATCCAATGTTCATTTTGCCATCTCATAATATATGTAGTTTAATCTATAGGATCATGTAATGCCAAACCCACACACAAGTTCCCATTGAGACAGAATGAAGCGACACACACTTAGCAAAATAAATGTATAAAGAAGAAAACAATTTATTCTAATGAGCAGTTTTTCATCAAAAGTTCTTGCTAATGTTTCTTATAAAGTAGCACCTATAAACTTATTGTCATTTTTTGTGTGTGTACTATGAAAAATAATCTGTTGGTCTTAGAAACAATCCTTGGAATACAAAACAAAAATTGTCAAATTTTGTCATAATTATTTTCTAAAATTTTTATTGCAGATACTTATTTAATTCATAACAACAACGTGGAATAACCCTTTTAGAAAGAAATTAATAAAGTAATTGTATTAAAAACTCTCATTAGTTGAAGGAATGGCAGTTCCACTGTGGAGGTCCACTCTTTGATAGGTATACATCGATCAGAGATCCAAGTCCCCTCTTGGTAATTTTGTCAAAAATGATCAAAAGTCACATTTTCAGTAATATCATGGGAAAACATATTAAAAGTAAATTTCCTGTTTTAATTTTTTTCTCTCTAAAGGACTAGAAACAGAAGTCCACTCTTGGCAGTGTAGCCTGATAGTCCACTGTTGGTACTGTTGACGTGTATGTGTGTGTATGTGTTTGTGTGAGTTCTTCCCTTAGTCTTTAGGTTTAGTTTTGTGTTTTATATAGTGTTAGGTTTATCTGCCCTCCACTGGTTCTCTTCCCCATCCAGATAATTGCTGTCACCTGCCTTCCCTCCAGCTTCACTCCACACACCTGCTTCCTGTTTCCCTAATTGCTCCTCCCTGTCTATATAAGCCCTCCTTGTCTCATTGTTCTTGTTGGTCCATTGTTGTTGTCAGCGTGATTCATTCTCAGTCTGCTCGTTCCTCTTGTGTTTTTTGATTTCCTGATTTTTGATTTGGCCTTCCTGCCCTTTTCAGTGATTTCAAAATGCAATATCAGTGATTTCAAAATGCTCTAAAATGGAAAATTGCTGTTTCCACAGGGTAATTCCTCTTTAGATCTACAGTATACAACCCCACAGTGATACCATATCAAGTTATTCTGATGTTGCTTTCCCTAACTCTTATTGTCAGGTTTATTCACCTAAGACACCATATAACAACACAACACAACACAGGAAAGAGACACAAAAGTCAGAATTCTGTTTAAGCTTGAGGAGAATGGAATAAAGTCACACCAACCCAGTCTCCACTGAGCTGATGCTTCCTGAAACCATTCTGACCTCTGAAATCCGAGCACCCATATTTATTACAATCGGGAGTTCCCTAGTTACATGCCTGAGAGCTGATTCTGAAGGGAGGGGGAAAAACACAGCTCTCAGTCCTGCAAGTTTAAAACCAAGAGCATTCATAATTACACAAAGAACTTTCAGTGTCTTATCACACGATGAGTCAGCAATTGATAGAACATCGGATCTTCTCAGGTCGTCCTTGGGCCACATTAAGCCAGGTTTTAACACTCTTAAAAACTCATGAGGGAATTTTACAATACAGCAACTGTTTAGGTACATAAAAGATAAAATCATTGAGCATAAAACATGGTAAATAAAACAATCTTTAATTGTAATACAAGCATAAATGAAACAATCTTTAATTGTATTAAAAGCATAAAACATGATAATCAAAAACATGAATAATAGTTCTGACACTTATAAATCTTTCTGAAATAAAAATTTCTTGAAATGTTAAAAAGTGGTCTACTATATTGGCCAAGTGTTTTCTTTTCTTGGAGAAGTAAGAATATAAGTAATTTAAAACAATAAGGAAGAAAACAGGAGCAGCTCATCAGGTAAAATATTTATTAAGACACAACAAGAAAAGATGGTAAAAACAGAATATGATTGTTTTCATTAGTAAAATTCATACAATTTTAATTAAAGCTTAAAAACTGCTAAAAACACACACAGAGAATTTATAAAAGGAGGCTAGAACCTGTAAGAACTCAGGGTACCTGAGAAAAAAACTAATGTTTTTGGTTTTTACAATTGAGACACGAGAGTGTAGACCAGGCTTCAAACTGAACCATGGAGTCACTATTTATATGATGGTGTACATAATAGGTTAAAAAATAATAATAATTGGAGGCTAAATTTCTACTTTCTGTTGGAGCTGGCCATCCCGATGACGCAGTCGTTCACCTGCGAAGATAAATAAATCAGCATTTCTAATTAATACAGCAACAAATGAAGGTGATGAAACAAAATATTCCCTTATAAAAATATACAATTTTAGCTCAATCACTAGACTCACGTTAGCCTGTTAGCAAACAAGCTACAAAAAATTCAGGATGTATTAAATAGAAATCAAAATCAAATCAAAGCTTCATTTATAAAGCGCCTTCCGCAACCGTGTCAGGAAGCTCAAGGCGCTGAACCAGGGTATATACAGCAATCCTTAAGTAAAATTTACTACTTTTTAACAGCGGATCTTCTCAGGTCGTCCTTGGGCCACATTAAATCAGGTTTTAACACTCTTAAAAACTCACGAGGGAATTTTACAATACAGCAACTGTTTAGGTACATAAAAGATAAAATCATTGAGCATAAAACATGGTAAATAAAACAATCTTTAATTGTAATACAAGCATAAATGAAACAATCTTTAATTGTAATAAAAGCATAAATGAAACAATCTTTAATTGTAATAAAAGCATAAAACATGATAATCAAAACATGAATAATAGATCTGACACTTATAAATCTTTCTGAAATAAAAATTTCTTGAAATGTTAAAAAGTGGTCTACTATATTGGCCAAGTGTTTACTTTTCTTGGAGAAGTAAGAATATAAGTAATTTAAAACAAAATAAGGAAGAAAACAGGAGCAGCTCATCAGGTAAAATATTTATTAAGACACAACAAGAAAAGATGGTAAAAACAGAATATGATTGTTTTCATTAGTAAAATTCATACAATTTTAATTAAAGCTTAAAAACTGCTAAAAACACACAAAGAGAATTTATAAAATGAGGCTAAAACCTGTAAGAACTCAGGGTACCTGAGAAAAAAACAAATGTTTTTGGTTTTTACAATTGAGACACGAGAGTGTAGACCAGGCTTCAAACTGAACCATGGAGTCACTATTTATATGATGGTGTGTTCATAAGTAAAAAAATAATAATAATTGGAGGCTAAATTTCTATTTTCTGTTGGAGCTGGCCGTTCCGATGACGCAGTCGTTCACCTGCGAAGATAAATAAATCAGCATTTCTAATTAATACAGCAACAAATGAAGGTGATGAAACAAAATATTCCCTTATAAAAATATACAATTTTAGCTCAATCACTAGACTCACGTTAGCCTGTTAGCAAACAAGCTACAAAAAATTCAGGATGTATTAAAATAATAGAAATCAAAATCAAATCAAAGCTTCATTTATAAAGCGCCTTCCGCAACCGTGTCAGGAAGCTCAAGGCGCTGAACCAGGGTATATACAGCAATCCTTAAGTAAAATTTTCTACTTTTTAATACTTTTTTTTTTGCTACCTTCAGAATTTTCTTTAAAACCATCACAACACTAAATTGCAAGTGTTAATCAGCGACCTATTTACACATATTTTAACATATATAACATACAAAAAGAATAGACTTAGAGACTCACTGATGTTGACAACATATTGCACATATTTATTTTAATTAGAAAATAAGCCAGGCACTTCTTTCCAGCGGTTCAGACAGTTGACCACGAGGCCTGAAATGATGCAGAACGACCACTGAATATGACGTCATCATTATGTGACCCGATATGCTAAAGTAGGGCTGCTCGATTATGGCAAAAACAATAATCACGATTATTGTGACTGAAATTGAGATCTCGATTATTTTTCAATTTATGTAGATTTTTTTTTGTTTTTTTATTCAGTCATAAAACTGCTCAGGGCAAAAACAAACAAGAGACAAGATGATCACTAAAATAACTCCTGATTCCCAGTATAAAAAGACCAATATACTTACAGCTCATAGTTTATGACCCAAGGGCTAAAGACCTTGGTTTAACTCATTTAAGTCTAACCAGTACAGACCCAAATACCAATATCTTGCAAATACTGACAACAAGAATTATACAGTGGCATTTATAACAAATACATGCAAATTGATGTTCACAAAATTTTGCATGACATTTATTTAAGCCCCATTCCCACCTGTACCGGGTCGGCCCGGGCCGGGTAGCCCCAGTCGGCCCCAGCCTGGCCCGGTTGATTCCACACATCCTTGCCTTAAGCCCATGTGGGCTGATTCTACCCACCAATCAGAGGCTTGCTCTAATGGAAGGTGTGAATGGGCTGATTCTACCCACCAATCAGAGGCTTGCTCTAATGGAAGGTGTGAATTTGCTGTCAGCAGTGGGCGTGTTGGCCCTGGTCGGCCTGAAGCAGTACCCCTCGGGAAGAGGGCCGAGAATGAGCCTTGGTTGGCCCGGGAAAATTCCAGGCCACCCAGATATGTAAACAACCTATGCTACCCGGCCCGGGCCGACCCGGTACAGGTGGGAATGGGGCTTAAGTCGTGTCAACGTGCTGTAGGAGAGTGCACTAGCACCGTGTCCTCAGAGAGATTAGTTATCAGCCTGAGGAACTTATTTCTACCTTATTTATACACTATTTACAATTCCATCAGTTAATGTAATAATTGTCCCAACCACAGCTGCACCCCCCACCCCCAACCCCGGTCTCACAGCAATCGGGGCAAGCTGCACGTGTTTAGCGCGCCGCACGTGCACATTTAGCCATTTTTAGCGGCTCAGGAGCCCGCAGGTACAATATGTGTCACTCACTCTGGTTAATCCAACAGGGAGCCGGCTCTGAGAGCCGTTTCTGTAGCGACTGACACATCACTGCATCATTCCCTTTCCTAAAGTCCTGAAGAACGGTCCGCAGCGCAGGCGGAGTGTTTAGCTAACCTGCAGGAAATGTCGACGACAGTTATCCAGAAAGTAGCTAAAGGTTACCAGAGATGTTTCTGACCAAAAGAGAGAACCAGGTCCAGGGTGTGACCCCTGGCATGAGTTGGGGATGATACCCATTGAGTTAAATTGAATGAATCTAGCAAATTCAAAAAGCCTTTAGCAAGCACATTGTCAGGACAGCAGATATGGATGTTAAAATCACCAAAAAATAGGACATAGTCATATTTTAGGATGCAGTCTGCCACAAGATCACCTTGAGTTCCTGAATCATGTTATGGAGCCGTCGGCGTTCCATCTCTCCAGCATGAAGCTCATCCTTCTGCTCCACCACGGTTTCCTTCAGGGAGCGAACCTCCTCCTGTGTGTTTGTGACAGGGTTCCCACTCTTTTCTTGAAATTATTTTCCAGGACTTTTCCAGGACAATTTCAAGACTTTTTCAGTGTACGTCAAGTTATCATAACTACGGTTTACCGATATCCCGATATATTTAGAAACAGATATGATATTGTACGTACCTACCTACACCGTTATTTTGACAATATAGTTGTGGAAAGATTTTTGTCTTTCACAATCCCACCTACTTTCCTCTACTTACAATGCAACACAACTAAAACAGAAGTTATTCTCTACTTTAGTTCATACCAGAGGTGTGACATTGTGGCATCATCAAGTCATCTCCATGTTTTTGTTCTGCTCAGCAACTGAACCAGGTTAATTCACTGTGCTGATTGAAATCGTCGTCGTCCTCCTCCGCTTATCCGGGTCTGGGTCGGGGGCAGCAACTAGGGAGCCCCAGACCGTCTTCTCCCTGGCCACCTCCACCAGGACCCCAAGGCGTTCCCGGACCAGATTGGAGATGCAGCCTCTCCAACGTGTCCTGGGTCGACCCGGGGGCCTCCTGCCGGCAGGCCATGCCCGAAACACCTCCCCAGGGAGGCGTCCAGGAGGCATCCTGACCAGATGCCCAAACCACCTCAACTGACTCCTTTTGATCCGGAGGAGCAGCGGTTCTACTCAGAGTCCCTCCCGAATGTCCGAGCTCCTCACCTTATCTCTAAGGCTGAGCCCGGCCACTCCACGGAGGAAACTCATTTCGGCTGCTTGTATCCGCGATCTCGTTCTTTCGGTCATTACCCAAAGCTCATGACCGTAGGTGAGGATTGGGACGTAGATCGACCGGTAAATCGAGAGCCTGGCTTTCTGGCTCAGCTCCCTCTTCACCACGACAGATCGGCTCAGCGTCCGCAGCACTGCAGACGCCTAACCAATCCGCCTGTCGATGTCCCGATCCCTCCTACCCTCACTCGTGAACAAGACCCTGAGATACTTAAACTCCTCCACTTGAGGTAGGACCTCTCCCCTGACCCGGAGTTGGCAAGCCACCTTTTTCCGGTCGAGAACCATGGTCTCAGATTTGGAGGTGCTGATCCTCATCCCAGCCGCTTCACACTCGGCCGCGAACCTACCCAGCAAGAGCTGAAGGTCAGAGCTGGATGAAGCTAGGAGGACCACATCATCCGCAAAAAGCAGAGACAAGATTCTCCTGCCATCAAACTCGACACACTCCACACCATCAAGGCCCGCTCGGAGTCGATGTCCCCCACTGCTCTTGGGACGCGGTCAAAGCTCTGCCGGAGGTGGGAGTTGAAGACCGTTTTGACAGGTTCTTCGGCCAGGCGTTCCCAGCAGACCCTTTGTTTATCCACAAGGAGGGAAAATTATTTTCCAGGACAACTCAAAAATTTCCAGGACATTTTGCAATTCCCCCCATTTTCCATGTGTTTTCCATGACTGGAAAATTGGACTATCATTTTCCAGGTTTTCCAGGACGCGTGGGAACCCTGTGTGAGGCTGGTCTGGAGCCGGGTCACGGTCGACTCCTGAACCGACAGCAAAACATTCACCCAGCCGTCTGAGCCACTGCTGCCGACGCCCACAGACCCACTGAAGGTGCTACCACCTCTCTTGTGTTTAAACATTTCAGAGAGATCTCGCCTTCTTTGAATCATTCCACAGATTTGATCATATAAACCATCCAGTTCCAGCTGGAGAGGACGATAATTTACCTTCAGAGTCTGCAGCTCGGCCTCCTGGCTGTCCCTCAGAGTCTCCATGACTTTGTATTTTGCCTCCAGATCAGAAAGTTCCCTCTGAAGGCAGTTCTTCTCAATGGTCATGTGTTTTAGATCCTCACGGACTCCACACAAAGCCTGCAGCTCCACTTCATACCCACTACATGACAACAAAACAAACATTGATTGTATTGAAGTGAAATTATTTAACGATTTAGCTTCAAATCCTAAAGAAAACATCTCTGACCAGATTTTGCTCTTCTGACTCTCCACCTCTCTCTCCAGGTTAGACAGTCGGTTGTGGCTCTGGGCCACGGAGCCTTTCAGGATCTCATTCTCGTTCACAGACCGGACCTTGGTCTGGCAGTTGCGGATCTTGCCCTCCATGTTGCTGACCTTGCCCTTCAGGTCCCATGCTTGTCTCCTCGGAGCCCCGGTCCCACCTGGACACAAGAAGTCCCGTTTATTTCTAGGTTCTGTCCAACTTTCCTACGTCCTGATTCGTCATTGCACGAAATTATAGCATAAAATTATTTTCCAGCCAAATTATATTTCGCAGCTTCGGCTCGACAGCTCTTAGGTGGTTTTAAAAGAAAGAAAGTTGTATTCCTCACCTGCTTTAGTGGCAGCGGGCGGTTTGGCTGCACCTTTAGGAGCAGTCGAAGCTGTGGGCACCTTCTGGACAGCTGATGAAACAATGTAATCATGTGAATTATTTTCCTAACTAAAAATAAAGTTACTGATGGACTAAAGGCAACCTGTCTCACCTCTGGAAGGACCAGCAGCCACAGTAGCAGCTCCTGCACCTCTCACTGATCCATCTGCATAAAACCATAATCCAACTGAGGTTTTCTAACACCCCGCCAGAGCTAGAATACGCCGACTGAGACAGTAACTTACAAAGAGAAGCTCTTCCTGATGCAACTGGAGGCCGTTTGTCTCCTATAACGGTTACAGATCTCGGACATCTTTGTGGCTCTTGCTCTTTGTGCACCTTCTTCAGCAAAAACATAAACAATAATCACAAAGTTTTAAGAATATTTAATGTCGATTTAAAGAGCACTAATGAAGGGACTTTGGCTAAGTGCTTCCCTAAGTGCTACAAACTAGAGTAGTATAATAACCCACCTCTCGTCAAACATTTTGACAGGTCTATTGTTCTTTGACCTCTTGACCTTTCAGGCCTATTGTTCTTTTGACCCCCTGACCTTGCCCCCCCTTCCCTAGCATCAAAGGTGTATTGTTCAATGACCCCCTGACCTTGGCCCCCTGCGCCTTAGCATCAATGGTGTATTGTTCAATCACCAGATGGCCTTGGCCCCCCCGCCTTAGCCTAATGTGTGTAATGGCGCATGAAGTTTCTTTTTGTGTTAGCCCCGTAGTTCCCACATCCCCTCCCTCCCTTAAGCTGAGTGTAATCCTTTTGTGTTAGCTCCCTCCCTTCCATACACCGATCTCCTCTTTAAAAGCTCAGATCGTGTCCGAATGGTGAAAAGCCAAACCTCTAAGAAAATGATGAAGCAAGAGGAGATGCATGAAGCACCAAGCCGGGACGAAGAAGTGTCTACATCCAACGCTTCAACTTCAACCCAAAAGGTGAAAGAAGAGAGTGTGGATACGCCGCTGTCAAAAATCTTGCTTTGTGAAAAATCCATCGCGATCCATCAGCTGCCTGCAGGGATTGGTGCTCCCCGCAAATCTACATTCTACATCTGCAGAGTCCAGGTTCCTCCTTTCGGCGGTAAAGAGATCTTGGAGCAAATATGGCAGTTGGAACCTTACGGCTATACCGGTAGTTTTGGGTACCGGTTCAGCTATGACACCAAGGAACTGTGTCTAATCCAAGATGTGGCTGAGGGTGAACCTCTTAAGTCCTATTTATCACACTCACCAGCGGTTCTCTCCTTGTTATGACCTCTGTGTTCCTGGGCTCCATTTTAACCACCGCACCAAGGACAGCTCCTTGCTCCGGCCCCGCTGAGACAGGATCATGGTGACAGGATCAGCACCATGGAGAGAGGCACGCCGAGACGCACCCTTCCTGCCGGCCCGCTGCCACCAGCTGGAAACAATCCGCGCTCATCAGGGCTTCTTATAAAGGAAGACGAGGCGGAAAGAGAGGAGGGCGGCGAAAAAGGACGGGGGCGCACGGCTAAAGAGGAAAAAGGGAAGAGCGGCTAAAGAAGGGGCGCACGGCTAAAGAGGAAAAAGGGGAGAGCGGCTAGAGAAAAGAGGAAAGAGAAGAGAGCGGCTAAAGAGAAGAGGGGGCGGTTGAGAAGGTGAATGGAGTTGAGGAGTTTCCAGAGAGAGTTCGAAGAGAGTTCGATGAGAGGTGACCGACAGCGCGCTTGTGTGGAAAAGGACGGAGATCGAGCCGACCGAGAAAGACGGAAAGGAAGAAGAGCCGGCAGAGACACAACCAAGATCGAGCACACGAGAGGAGCAGCAGACGAACGAGAGCGCCGAGCCGAATAAAGAAGCGGTGCTCCGGAAGAGGGTCACATCTGGAAATTGTGGAGACGAGGTACATACACCGTCCGTGGATTACGCCCACCTAGAACAGACAGACAACACAGGGATCTATTCTGGAGGAGAACCATCCGCTTCCAGAGACAGAGAGAGAGAGAACGGGAGAGCGACACGCCGGCCACGTGAGGAGCAGCACAGGACCAGAAGGAGAACTCATACCCAAAAGGAGGGTATTATTCGAGCGTGGGGCTTTGCCCTTATTTTCAGTTATATTTTAAGAGACTAGTTTAACCAGACCTCTGGCTTTATTATTTCCAAGGACCAGTTTTTCACTTGCCAGAGACATTTTCAGTTTAATAAACTCCTTTTGACTTTTAGTTGTCCTCGTGTTTGCCCCCACCACACTTGTGTTGCCCCTCCTGGTAATCCTAGGCCTGGAGGGGTGTAACACTCCTACAACGACTGGGCAGTACTCAGGCTCGCTGTTCCACGCAAGGTGTACAGAGATGATCGTGAGAGACCTCGTCCGCCTGTAAATCGCAACGGGCCGCAAGCTCTTCCAATGCTGGATAAAATCCAGAACGCTGTGACAGCATTCAGCGCTTCATGGGAGGGGGAAGAGGATGTGGATGGGGAGTGGATGTTCAAGGCCTCGGTCCATGAGAGAGGATTTGAGCTCTTTTTTATGCTGGAAAATATGCATTCTGTATGCGGAATTTACCGCCTTCTACAGGTTGTACCTTTCGATGCCTGGTGTGAAAAAATAAATGGAGGATCGTATTACTTCACTTTTTCGTACCAGCCGCTGCTGGAACGACATTCTGACAGTGCGAAAAAAGCTGGAGTTCTAAGACCTGCCTCAGGAGGAGGAAGAGGAGGAGTCGCATCATCAAACCACGCCCCCACCCAGCACTAGTTATAAAGAGCTTACAGTTAGAAACCATTTCATCCAGATGATCTAAGGCATCAGCATGATGGGGTTCTACAATCAGACAAGCCTTGATGACCTATGGAGCCCGCCACCGAGCTGGGTACTAACGGCCTCATTACCGCCGAGATACAACAACACCAGTCCGAGGCCCACATCGGCGCCATCATGCTTTCCGGAGGCATCACCACCACCGAGATACAACGGCAGTCCGAGGCCCACATCGGCGCCATCATGCTTTCCGGAGGCATCACCACCACCGAGATACAACGGCAGTCCGAGGCCCACATCGGCGCCACCATGCTTTCCAGAGGATAACCTACCACGACTTCCCACCATCCTGGAGGTTCCGGAGAACGTACCATTCAGGCCCTGGGTCGACGAGACTTCTGCGAGTACTGATCCACCTTCGGTGACATCAAACCCTGAGCCTCCACCTGGTCATGAGGAGGGTGTGCAACCCCTCAATATCCAGAGCACCGATGAGGAGCCTCGTCATCTGCCTGACTGGGTGTTTTCAGAAGACAAAGTAGACCGTGTGAAAATGGGTTTTCTTCACTTGGTCAACATGGCGATCAAAGCTCACTTACCTACCATCTGCCACGGATGCAAGATCGATCACCCCAGTCAACGGCAACACGAATGTCTTTACGTAGCTGAAAATGAATTATTTTACGATTTTTACTTTATGGACATTATTCGCAGGGTTTTAACACCTAAACTAATTCCGGCTTCAAAGTTTTCTCAGTCTGTACGGCTTCTAGCCTCTGGACGCTGAGATTCTGTTCACCATGGCTGTGACGCAGCTGCACGGATTCAGGGCTGTGATGCCCATTCACAAAGACATTTTTCCGATGTACGATCGCCTATCCAAAGCTGACTTGGACGCACTGTCCGGGGTGGTGGTGGAGTGAGCTGCGGAGGGTCTCTTCTACAACTTTATTATAATCATTATATTCAATGGCGTCATTAGATTTTATTTCTGACTAGACAGTGTGTGTTTAGATTATATTTGACGACTGTTTTTTACAGTATGATTAGAGTTTATTTCTGACTAGGCTGTGTGTGTTTAGATTTTACTCATTATATTTGACGGCTGTTTTTTACAGTATGATTAGATTTTATTTCTGACTAGGCTGTGTGTGTTTAGATTTTACTCATTATATTTGACGGTTGTTTTTTATAGTGTGTACAATTTATGAAATAAAAAGAACTAATGAAAACGAATATGCATCATTTTTGCCAACCATTCATCAGAGATGGAGGAGGTAATGAAAAAGGTTTATTTTTCACCAAAACATCAGGGCAGTTAGGTGGTGTGGAAAGGTTTAGAACCGGTTTACAACGAGAGATTGGGGAGAAAGTTTCATCGGATAAGGCTCGTGATTTTCTCTCAGAACAAGACGCTTATACACTCCACAAACCTGCAAGAGTTCATTTTCCGAGAAATAAGGTTTTTGTCTCAGTGCCGCTAAAACAGTTTCAAGCTGACTTATGCAATATGCAAGCCTTGTCAAAATCAAACGACGGTTTTAATTACCTATTAACCGTCATAGATGTATTTTCAAAGAAAGCCTATGTACGAGCCCTGAAAAACAAATCGGGGAAAGATGTTACAGAAGCTTTTGCTTCAGTTTTGAAAGACAGCGGTGTCCCTAAAAAATTGCAAACGGATTCCGGTAAAGAATTTTTTCATAAGAAATTTGAAGCCCTCATGAAGAAACACAGAATTGTGCCCTTTGCTACAGCCAGCAGCGTAAAGGCCAGCGTTGTGGAGAGATTTCACAGCCAAAAACACCCGTCGCTACATAGATGTGATTCAAGATTTGCTGAAAGGTTATAATCATAGCTACCACTCTTCTATCAAAATGGCCCCCTTTGAAGTTAACACGGAAAATCAATGAAAAGTGTTTCGCAACCTTTAAGGGACCACCACACTGAACCCTGCAAAGAAAATGAAGTTTAACAGGGGTGATGTGAGAATTTCCAAACTCAGAGGAGGTGTTTTTAATAAAAAATATGAGCAGAGTTTCACGCACGAGCTGTTCACCGTGGACGAGTGTCTTCATCTATCGCCACCGGTTTATCAACTCAAAGATTTTGATGGGGAAAAAAATTGAAGGGTCATTTTATGAACCCGAATTGCAGAAAGTAAACTTATCGACCGAACGATCCTTCCGCGTTGAAAAAGTTTTAAAGCGCAGAACTTACAGAGGCCAGAAGCAAGTTTTTGTTAAATGGCTTGGCTGGCCTCAAAAATTTTCCAGTTGGATTAAAGCCTCAGACTTGCACAACGTTTAAAAAAACAGATACAATAAAAAATGGATTTGAGACAAGAGGAGGGTTTTTATATCACATTACCCTCTAATGCCAGTAACGAAGTGTTTAAAAATAACACGATTGCCAGTTACAGAACCGATCTAGCCCGTCACATCAATCTCAATGGCAGGTGGCAAGTGGGACTGTCTGAAATCACTTACGTTCACTCGTGGTTTAATTTACCGAACGATCGTGCGTTTGTTGAATGGCGACGAGTGAAAGAACCTGAGAAAATCAACAGAGCTCCGATTACTCCCGGATATTATAAAGCTATCCAAACACTTAGAATGGAATGTGAGACTGTTATGAGAAAGATTGATCCTGATTTCTATCTCATTCACAGATTCCCCGACCCCGTTCTCAAATATCAGATCGGCGATGAAATAGAATTTAGATTTTTAGCTCCTCTGGCCTATCTGTTAGGTTTTAACGCGGGTGAGTGGTTGACGCCTAAAGGTACTTCCGGCTTCAATGAACAGATCAAATCGGCGCCTCACCCCCCGATTTAGCAGGCGGTCTATATCAATGTTTCTGCTACACGGATGTCGTGACCGAGCAGTTGGTCGGCGACGTCTTCGCACCTTTAATACGCACTGTGAAAGTTGAAGGGACCTTCCGTCACACGGTCACTCATGTGTTTAACCCTGTGGATTACATCAGCGTTTCTACGAATTATATAGAAAGCATTCATATCGAAATAAAATCTGATCAGAATGAGCCGATTCACTTCTTATACGGAAAAACAACGGTGAGGCTTCATTTCAGGCCCGCACATCAGAGAAATACAATAATATAACGTGCGTGAAACAGGGTGAGAGAGTCAGTTACGCTCGTACGTCTTGCAAACATGATTTATCACCTACAGAGAAACGATCCCAACCGTTTTATCAATTATTACGTCACTCAGGCCGGTCATGGTTTACCAGGTTTTAGCAGTGTTCCTTATATGTACGGACGTGGCTTTGGATTGATATTTTCAAGACTGTTTCGATTAATGTCACCTTTTGTTAAAAAAGGATTTGCTCTGGCTAAACCGCATCTCAAAAAGGCCGCTACCGGAATCATGTCAGATGTGTTGACGAGAGCCGTCGGTAAAATCACTGACCCTAATGGCCAAGAGGGGTCAGGCCTCATGGTTCTGTCGAGGCGAGTTCGGAAAAGACCCCCCGGCAGGCGTTTAAAGACATCTACATCACGAAGCGACCGGCGCATCAAAGCTCCAGTTATTAAACGCAAGCAAAAGAGGAAGAAGTCTCGTCAGCCGGGCTCTGATATTTTTTAATCATGTCACTGCTCCACAGTAAATCGTCAGAATGTACGCTGAGTGAATTGGACCTCTTCACCGTCCCCATGACGCAGTTGTCTATCGAAGATAAGATCTACAGCGAAATTTTGCCCATAGCGGCCCTGACGGACGGCAGACCTGTAGAATTTTTTGTCTCTGGAGATGGAGAGAAATATTTAGATTTAAACGACACTCTTCTACTTTTGCGGGTGAAAATTACAAACGATGACGGCAGCCCACTGGCTGATGGTGCTGCCACGGCTCTGATTAATTACACAAGAAACACGATTTTCTCACAATGTGACGTGGTTCTCGGCAACCGTCTGATTTCACAGTCCAGCGCCACGCATCCCTACAGGGCGATTATCGAAACCCTGCTGAACTTTTCTGAAGCGAGTTTGAAATCTCAATTCAGTGCGGGATTGTTCTTCAAAGACACCGCAGGTGCGCACGATTCAACTGTTGTAATTAACGGCCCCAATTCAGGCCTTAATCAACGAGCGTTTTTTACAGAAAACTCCAGAGAAGTGGATCTGATAGGACCCCTGCATTCTGATATATTTTTTTGTGAAAGACTTCTTTTAAATTCTGCCGATCTCAGAATTAAACTGACAAGGGCCAGTGATGCTTTTTGCCTGATGGGGGCGCGTGATTCCACATACAAGCTGAAACTGCTGGGTGCATCGCTTTTTGTGAAAAAAGTTAATATTTCACCCGCCGTACGTTTGGGTCACGAGTCTGCTTTACTAAAAGCAAACGCCTTGTATCCGCTTTCACGCATTACCGTCTGTTGGTCTTTCTTCTGTTAGACCAAGCACGGGTACGGAGAAGATGGAGTTAAACACCTTTTGAGTTGGCAGAATGTGGAGTCAAATGATCAGAAGTCCAGTCACTGTTTCACCGCTCGAGAGGGGGAGAGCCTTGCAACTTCCAGCAGGTCCCGCGATCTGCTCCTGACAGTTGCTTTGGACAGACTCTCGCCGTTCTGCTGAAATTGGCAGATTTTTATTGAAGATTACAGGAATGTTACATACGCAGTTTGCCATGTACATACGTCATGACAGGTAAAAAATAACAGCCTTGTTAGTGGACAGTTAATTCATCACGAGAACATGCATCCTTGAGATTACTAGGAACATCCTGATACATGAAGATACATTTCACCGGTACCGAGAGGAAATTGAGAGGAGCTGGAATGTGCTCACTCCCTTCAAGGTTGCAGAAAAGAACATACTGCTGTAAATCTTTGTGTAGAGGCCTTGAGTATCTGAGCAAGTGTCCATAGCATAGAGTAATACAAATGAGCTTATAAGGTAAATATAAAAGAAGCTTATAAGGTAGATACATATATTTTCACGTCAAAACTTATTCCATTCAACAAAATTCGAGGATATGTAATTTGGAGAACCTCTTTCTCGGCGCCATTCCTAAATATATTGTCTTGGGATTGGTGGACCACGAGGCTTACACAGGACGCAGGGACCTTTCTCCATTAAATTTTCGCCTCATGAATGTGGAATACCTGGCATTGTCCAGAGACGGAAAACAGATTCCTTCAAAGGCCTTTCAGCCTACTTTTTATCAGGGAACATCCGTCAGAGAATTTTATAATCTGTTTACAACCACCTCCAGACAATTGAAAGATTTGCCTCTATCGATTAATAGGTTGGAATATCAACAGGGGTATACACTCTTTGCCTTTAATCTGAACACAGCGGATGACTCGGAGGCGCTTTCAACCGTTTCCACCGGCAACCTGAGGATGGAGATGCGCTTTGGAGAACCTCTGAGAGCCACGACTACACTCATTGTGTATGCGTGTTACGACTCCATTCTCGAGATAAACTCAAAGAGAGAGGTATTGGTGGATTATTATTAATGGATAATCACGAATTGGACGGAATATTATCGAACCTGCTGGGAGATTATTTTTGCGGCGTGTACGCATCTGATCAGCTGTCTACCTTCCCAAAAAACATTCAACTACCGGCCTACTTTGTGGTGAACACTCATCCTAGCCATTTACCCGGTGAACACTGGTTGGCGCTAGCT